TGAACGCCACACATTGCCTTCAAACACCAACTCTTGAAAACTATCTCTGCCAATTAGACGGGAAGCTTTTCTAAAAGCTCAACTCCTTTAAGATTTCCTGTTGGATGATGTGGACAAATTGAAGCCCCAACCCATAATCCAACACAGGAACATGTTAATTCTCCAGTCCACACACTCGTGTCATGTCAGGCTAACGGTTAATCCAGCCAGAGATTTATTACTTTGGCAGGATGAAAACTGTTGGGATTAATGTGTGAGGAGGGGTCAGAACATACAAGCTATTAAGCCTTATAGAGAAATACATTGAAAAATAAGCTGCAACTGTTAGGTTCCCATTTCAGAAAAAAAAAACGAAGCACTTTCTGTAAATCGTGCCTCTGATCCTTTTAATGTTAGATTGAGATACAAACACAAGAAGCCGTTTTTCGCTCCTGACTCTCTTTGTGGGCCGTTAATCCACTGCCACAATGTGGATATTGTCTGCAGACAAGCACAAGTATCGTCTTGAGTTTCTTCTTGGCACCTCGCAGGTGAAGGATTTCATTGTTAACTAAGACAACCGCAGCAGCAATGTCAACATGCTGTCAGACGCTGAGGGAGAGCAGTCTGCACCTTGAATCCAAGGTTACGTAACAGAAATAAATGAGACCTTTCATCAATACTCTCTTGAAACCCAGTCCTGGTAAAGTTTGCGGTTTTGGTTTTCATTTTGAAACACGTCATGGGAACCAAAAAAGCCAGATGAGCTAAATGACTCAAAACTTTTAACCGGTTTTATCATTTCACGGAGGTTTCAGCTCTTCTTCTGAGCATCCAGTCCTCTTCAATCTAAGCCCACCCAGAATAAAAAGCTATTTTTTTTATTTTCTTTGAGATTTAGGGCACCTTAGAAACAACTCCACACTGCAAAAACATCTTACCAAACGTTTATATCTTAGTACACTTGAAATAAGACAAACTAACTTAAAACTAACTTTTCATCAGGGTATGCAAACTTGCTTTAAGCAAATAATGACTTCATTTTGATTAGATAAAAGTCCTAGTTCCATTGGCAGATTATTTCATGTATAACATGTTTCAGATAAATTATAAGTTAATTTATCTGCCAGTGGAACAAGAACCTTTTCATCAATATTAAGGTATTATTTACTGAAAAAGAGCTCCTATATCTTGCTGAAAAGTTACTTTTAAGTTAGTTTGTCTTACTAAGATATTTGCACCAGAAACTAGACCTAAATGACTTGGTAAGATTTTGTGCTGTTGCAGTGTTAGTGTCTCCCAATGACACAGTCAAGTGTGAAAGTAATGAAAGACAAACAGCCCAGCCTGCTGCAACCTGCATACGCCAGTCTATGTGTGTTACAGTTAATTATTTTCTGCTCTGCTTTGTCTCCTCTGAAGCCAAATAACTTTCTCTTTTTATGCAGATTTGAAGGCATCTGCGCCTTGACACACGTCAATCTGTCTCGGTGGCATCGGCAATACGGCGGCGTTCTAAAAAACGAAGACAAATCTGGGGCAAAACACACCAACACATGCTTAAATACCAACAGACAAAATGGAAAGTTGATAGCCTGACGCTCTCGATCCACACTATCTGTCTTTCAAGATATGATCTCCCAGCCTCTGCTAATAAATAGGGACAGTTACATGTGAGCGAGTCGAAACTTGGCGAGCGGTGAGGTTAGCGCTCCAAACACAGAACAATCAATTTAACCACAGAAGAACTGATAGGTAAACTAATACAGATGTGAATCACACCCAGAATAAATCACAGCCAAAGGCAGAAAAACAGAACGACATTCCTGTTAGCATCCAAAGAAACATGTTGATTTATAACGTCTCTAACTTTGTAAATTGAAATGATAAACTCTCACTGCAAAGAAAAAAATGGTCACATTAGTTGTTTCCTCAACTAAAGAGGAAGCATGTCACACATCTCACCTACATAATGGTGGGAAAGTCAGAATAGGACTACTTATTTTACTAAAGTGAAAGTTAAACAAAGCTGTGCAGCAAATTGTTCAACTAAGAATAAAAAACTATTTTTAAAAAATTCTTAAGTACTGAGCAACAGATCAAATTTTTAATCATTTCATATGTAGAATTTACATCATCAGTTAAGAGAGGAAATTTTGTTATTTTAAGGACCAAAATGGCAGTAATTTATGGAATAATTTAAAAAATAACAAAATCAGGACAAAGAAAATGTTTCCAAATCAGTTTCTTTCAATAAAAAACTGATGAAACTTTAACAAAAATTGCAGGTGTGTGTCTGTGTCTGGTGACTTTTTGGTTAAAACATGTTTGTTTTTCATTCAGCGGGTAGAAAATCCAGAAATGTTTCTCAGTTAAGGGTAAAAAGAATTACTCAAGTAAAAGTAAAAAGTACAGCATGGTAAAAATACATTTTTCCAAAAACGTTACTTATTTAAATGTAAGTGAGTTCATGTAACTCAGGTTGGGGGAAAGTACCGCCACATTTATCTTAACACACAATCTGTGCACATTTATCTACACTGTAAAAACACAAAATCTTATGAAGAATGTTTTGTTTATTTTAATTTTTTTGTTTTTATAATGCTAAGCACTTTGAACTGTCTTGTTGCTGAAATGTGCTATTAATATTGCTAAAAAGTACTACAGCCATTGGCAGATTATTTCACGTATGAAAAAAGTTTCTTGTTATAAGTGGAATAATCTGCCTGAACTAAAACTTTTTAAAATCAATATTAACTTTTGACTTAAAACAAGCTCATGTTTCATGCTAAACAGTTCTATTTATTATTTCAAGTCTTCTAAGACATTAGAAATTGAAAATTAACAACAACAAAAAGCTTTGTAAGATTTTGTGTTTTTGCAGTGTACCTAAAAACTGAGAAGCCTGCTGCTATAACTGTGGCCTTGTGTTGTTGTTATTGCAGATGACAGAAACTGTGGTTTAACTGGAATGTGGGGGAACAAATATAAATGTGTTCAAGATGTAGCCGTTCGCAGAGAAACCTGAGTTAAAACAAACCTCAGCGAGTCGCTTTATCTCTCGCTGCTCCAGCTGCTGTGCCCTGATACTGGCTTTAGTTTACATGAGGAGGTTGCCAACTGGGAAAACAGTCTGTCGTCAATATTCAACGAGTCCCAAGCAACCAGTGCAGATATAAGCCAAACCGCCGTTGCTACACTTCCATCAACTGATACTCCGGATCACTTTATAAACCCAGAAGCAATTAGAAACAATGAATATGTAGCTCATATTTAAGAGTCGTGTCATTAAAACAAGTCCTGAACGTAATAAAGATAAATCACAGTCATTTGTGTTTTCTGAGCAAGGCTTTTAATAACTTATGTGTTTACAGCTCAAACAGCAATAAAGCTTTGATCAGCAACATGTCCGTCATCTGCGCACGTTGGAGGCTGAATACGTTTTATTATAGCTTCACCATCAATCATATATCTGAGCCGGGTCAAACTAATTAAGAGCTCTGATTTTATTAGACGAGAGAAGAGGATGGATATGATGAAGCAAAGAAATCTCATCTGTCTACAGCTTCTTTTGCCGTTGCTGTTTGCTTATTATTTTTCTGTGAGCAAGTCTGCAAAAACTAAATCTTGCCAAGTGTTTTTGGTCTAGTTTCTGGTAACATTTCAGCAAGAAATAGAGGCTTGTTTAAGTAAATAATTCCCTAATATTGATTAAAAAAAAGTGTTAGCTTCACTGGCTGATAAATTAACTTATAACATGAGAAAAAATGTTGTGTCAAAAGTGAAATAACCAGTAATTTTTCATCAATAATAAGGAATTATTGACTTAAAGCGAGCCTTTATAATTTGCTACAAAGTTACTTGCAAGTTAATTTTGTCTTATTTCAATTGTTCTAACATATTTGCATTAAAAATTAGGCCAAAATTACTTGGTAAGATTTTGTTTTGTCATTTTAGCCGAAATGTAAATAAGGACATTTTTAAAAACGTATTAACTCAATACAAGTAACACACACAGACAAAAAGAAACTAACAATAATTAATATTTCGGTGAACTATTTTCAGGATTAAATTTGGGAATCAATCTCAGTATTTTTTCTTGGAGTTTCATTTCCTCATCCGGTGTATAAATTTGCATTAAGTTGTTTTTTATTTTATTTTTCCGATTATCTAATGTTGGAATTGGGACTCAACATTTCTTAGTTACTACCAAATTTTTAAGCTAAAAATGTAACTTTTCAGCAAGATATCGATGCTTGTTTTCTTCTTATAGCAAGACATTATTTCCTATATTACACAGAACTAGTACTTTTTTAATCAATATTAATGAATTTTTTGCTTAAAAGAAGCAGCTGATTCTTGCTGAAAAGCTACTCGTAAGCTAGTTTGTCTTATTTCAAGTGTACTAAGATATTTGCAGGAGAAACTAGAAACAATTATTTGGTAAGATTTAGTGTTTTTGCAGAGTTTCGATTTGGATTGTGGGAACCAGACAATCTCAAACATCTGAGATTAGATTATAAGGGAGCCTTTATGCTTCAGAATAATGAAAAAAAAGAAAGATTTCTTTTGCACAGAGATAGATGTTCATATACAAGTGACCTTTGACCCACAGGAAGGCTTTTGTGAATAGCTTGTCTGGCTCAATAATACTTATTAGGTCCTTTTCATGGCGTGATATTTTGTGCTCTTCAAAGTATTAAGGTCAAACCTGAAGCACACTTAAGCTAAACCACAGAACCTCTGAGAAGCAGGCAACAAGCAGCAGGCCCCAACCAAATCCATTCAGGAGTTTTTCCACTTTTTGTTTGTCCCTCCAAGTTTGATCGACTGCAACTGCAGTTTTAATAATAATAAAATGATGATTAGTGGGACGGCGGGGCAGCAGGAACCACATTTAGGTCGTTGGTTCAGTTTTCATCGTGGTTTTCAGAAAGACGTGAGAGAGCTAGCTGGTTCCTCGCACCTGCTTCCTGGAACAGAAAATCACAAACATGACTGAACTGGAAGAGCTGGCACACTTGGATGTAGTCATTTATTCATTTCACAATGACATCGCTCAGCTTAATCCCAGCACTTTGCTGTTGTAAAACAACAAAAAGTCATTTCTGTGTAACTGAATATGAGTTGGCGTTGCTCCAACTTTTGCAGAATTATTAATATCTGTCATAAAGTAGTAACTTGTTACAGAATACTTTGTTTTACTATCACTTACTTACAATCAATTATTACACCTAAAATCCAGAAATATTCACCATTTCATCAGACTAATGATACAAAAGTGCTTTCCATGCCTAAAAATACTGTATATGAAAATAAATCTTTTATATTCAAACATAACCTTGCAAATATGAAATTGGTGAAGTCTTTTTTTATACCACAATCTCAATACAACACTCCTGTGCACATGTTAATTTTTACACTCAAACTGAGAATGATGGGAGAGCGTTCACAGCCTGAGACCCAATTACTTTTGTTCTGACGATGTTTCACCTGATAACTGCATGTTTCTTGGCTCAAATCCAGTGCTTGGCTTTCTCTACTAGCCCAAACAATATCAGAATATCTACAACCTAAATTATAATGTTTGTTCATTTAAATTGTATTAGTTTACTTCCAATAGTCTATTCTCTTTTTCTGTAGCCTTTCTCTTGGCTTATTGCTTCCAATACACGTCTGTGTGGACTATTGACGTTTCATCCAATCAGATTTCAGTCTCTATGTATCTTGCCAGGGTAAATCTAATCTGCCCAGGCAGACTAGATTGGAAACAGTTAAATATGGACCCTGCCCCATCTTTATGTTGGAGGGCAAAACAGAAAGATGGGGCTAACCAATGGCTGGCATTGTTAAAACCAATGCTAACCAATGCTAGCCATTGGTTTTAACGGCTAAAACCAATGGCTAGCATTGGTTTTTAGTTATCAGTATAATGTGCAAAAACTTAATTGTAGATGAGATATATAAAATTAGAGGGGATGCAGTACGACAACTGAATGACAAGGAAGTAGTTCAGTAGTTCAGTTATGCTAGCTTGACTATGAAAACCATAACATGTAGATGTGCTGTGGAATTCTCCGTGTTTTCGGTTCAGTTAAAACGTTTTAAAAAGCTACTAAAACACCAACTCTGATAGCTCATCAGTAGAGGAGGTGTTGAAATTAGCTAATCTGCCACAGCTGCGTTAAATTAGCTAACAGCGGTAGCTAATCGACCACGGCGATCACTTACTAATAACCGCAACATAAATATCAAGTCTAAAAACATGAAACTGTAATGGACTGAATGTTCTTTGTGTGGGAAACGTTTCAGTCTTTGTTGGTGTTGAATCCTAAACATATAGCGTAGCTAACACCTCGAGAAAAAACAAAACAAAAAGTGGTTGTGAGTTTTTCTACAGTTTTTTAGCATTATTTATTTATGTTATTGGCGCATAACAGTAAATTAATAATACCAAATGATGACAAATACCAATTAATGACACCAAATGCCTCAATTAGTCAACAAAAAAAGCTGGGCTAAGCACGGCTGAGGATGTTTCTTATTGGTTTAAGAATCCAATCATTGCAGGGCGTAATGACAAAATATCCCAGACGAAACCTTTTGCAATCAGATTATCACAAAGTCTTTCTATGCAGATAAACCCTGCAAGGCGAGACCAGTGTGCACAGACTGACAAGCAGCAGAAGCATCAGATAAGTTTGTTTAAGAAAGGATCGTCCTGCATGCTCCATCCTCATTTTGACAAATATTACATGTTTGCAGGAGTTTTACTGTAGTGGTGCAGTAACAAAAAGGAAAATGTAAATTCATTTCTTGACTATGTTGAAATAAGAAAACCCATAACCATCCCTGTATTTCACCATTTTGTTCTACAATAAACTCAATGTACACATCAGGCTATTTTCTATTGAACCTCTCAATATAAATATATAATTTATATATACTGTATTTACATCTTCTCCAAAAAAACAAACAAAAACAAACCGTCAGTAATGCTGTGCGAACTATCCTATCACCATTAGGTAGGTCAGTTACAGGTAATTGTAAAACAAGGTTTTCTTTGCACCAGCAGCTTGTTCCACCAATCACAACATTTTGGCTGAACCGTTACGTCTCCAACATGGCAACACGCAGCGCTCGGCTCTCCTTCAGCCGCCTCAGTAACATGCAGCATGTTGTCAGCGGGTTTCCCATGGCCACAGCATCAGGAGCAGAGCAGTAATTAACCCAGTCAGGGGTTCAAAGGTCGTCGAATGGGCTGAGCCGTGAACAGCCACCTGAAAAAAGTAAGTAAATAAAAACACAAGTGAGGTGGAATAACGTCATGCAATAACATTTCAATGAATCTGCATTACTATTATTATTAGCTACAGATTAAGAATAATTTATAAGTGTTGGTAATTATTCTGATGCTGTATGTCCATTATTATTATTATTATTATTATTATTATTATTATTATTATTATTATTATTATTATTATTATTATTATTATTATTATTATTATTATTATTATTATTATTATTATTATTATTATTATTATTATTATTATTATTATTATTATCCATAGATTTTCTTGTCTTGTTTTGAGAGTTAGGTTGTAACCATATTTATTGGCCTTTTAGCCCAGTATATTGAACAGGCATGAATATTATAAGATGGTTTTAATTACAAGTTTTTGAATTTGACTTATTCTGTGAAAAAGTCATATGTTTAGTTAAACTGAGGATTAAATAAGTGTTCACTTCTTCCCACCACAGCTAATCATTTTGTTCTTGGGTCTGTACGTTGTCTCTGATTGCTTGTTTTCATGTTTTCAAAAACACGTTTGAAATAAATGAATAAAAAATATTTGAATGTTGTGGAAATGGTGCTTCACTTTTGGGCTTTGGACCACTGAACATTGTCTTTGGTTCAGGATAGGCTTAAATTAAAAAATGCTGCCTAAATAAGGTAATACGTAGAACTTTGTTTGGTTGCTTATTAAATCTCCCCCAAAGTGGAATTGGCTTCACAAATCCTCTCAAGGTTGTTTTTCCTTCCACTCAACATTCCATTTATACGTTCTGCTTTCCTACAGGATTCTTACTTTTTGGTCTTATGCTATAATATTCCAGTTTTCTAAGAAGCTGAACATTGGGTTTTCATTCCTTAATCTTCAAGGGATGTTTTTTTTTGGGAACATTTTAACTGAAACTACATCTTTGTGGTTTTCTTCAGTACTACGTAGAAAAGGGTGCAAAATATTTCACTACGTCTCTATCAGATTATGCAAGGATCTGTTTGAGCCATGTATGTAAGAGAAATAAAACTTTAAATCTCTGTTGCAGCTGGATGATTTAAACAATATGTAAACTGTTGGAATAGCAGACATTTGAGGGCTTCATTAATGTAAAATCAAAGATATCACTTATGAGATCCAAAAATAAGATGTCAAAAGTCAAGAAGATCTTTCTAATACATTTCCAAGTGTTGCATTACTTGAACCAAAGTAAAAAGTCCACATGATCCAAAGTATGAGGATGGATTTCAGAAACGTTGTCCTTTCAGTAACTTGATCTGTTAGAAGTCTGAAAAAACTGCATTTCTTTACCTGGGGAGGTGAATTTTGAACTGGAGGAACTGGAGGAACTGGGCGACGAGGAGCGACAGGAGGCGCGTCTTTTGTTTCTGGACTACGGCCGCTTGAAGAATCATCACCTGGATGTAAAAACATTTAAAAAGTCATTATATAGACTGTAGTAAAACCCCAAAAATCATGTTTTTTTTTTTGTATACTTTGAATTCTCTCTGACCCGCCACTAGAAACATTTTCAAAACATGTATCTCACGTTTTGATACATGTTGAGTGTGATGAAATGAGACAACATAAAATTCAGTTAGAAAATAATCTAACAGTTAAAAAAGAACAAACTACTGTTTGCTTATGTAAAGGCCAACCGAGGAGTGTAGTTGCTTGTGTTTATTGGGGCCTGCATGGCAGGCATCTATTGTTCATCACCTAATAGAAGCTCTCGATTCATTTTTCCCCCCCACAAAAGTGGTATCAAAATGTGCGGCTCGATGCCGGGAGGGAAACTATTAGTTTTAGTGAGATTCGGAGCAACCGTGGCATTGTAAAAAGCAAAAAATGAGCAAGATTTCCAACTGCGGAAACGCAGAGTGTAACTGGCGTAACGAGTGTGGGAAGGAAGGATTTCCACACGCTCAGCCAGACTGACTTCAATGTAGTTCTGAAAAAATATTTTTTTCATAGGAAGTTGAAAACCCAACATGAAATGTAACTTTTAACTTTCATCTTATATTAGCTTTGACAGAAACAAAGTCTAACCCGAACCCTGCAGCTTCACCATTAAACAACTTTATGCTTCTGCTCAGCTAGGTGCATTCCTAACAGGTAACACTGAATCCAACAAATATTTGTTTCAGTAAACCTCGACAAAACAAGATAATTACCGCCATGTATCTTCATCTCTGCAGAGTCTGTGGCGCTATCTTATATGGAGCTAAAACAAATCAAGTAAAGAACATCTGCTGCTGTAAAAAACAAATCCTGATTTGTGAAAATGTTTTCTATTTCTGTTTCTAGTCTTCTGATTGCACAAAAAATATCTTGCACAACTGAAAGTTGTTTTGTTGCCGCTAAAACATGAAGGATTTATGGATTTCACCCCAAACACCCACAGGCTGATAGAACGCAGCCTCTCACATTAGATACACAAAACACACACACAGATGTTCAGAATGTTGCTTCATTTACCTGGTATGCAGCTAAAGTGAAGCAGCTACTTTTTTTAAGCTGGATGTGTGTGTTGGCAGTGATCCATGTCCCTTCTGGGAGAAACTCAGGTAAATGGCTTGATTACAGCGGGAGCGAAAACAACGGTGCTGCTGGAAAAGAGAGCTCAACACACACCCACTCAGCGACATTCCTGCGTTCACCTGCGCTGTCCAAAATACACTCACACAGCAGGCTGCTTCTTTCTTCCTAATATCTCGGTGACATACACAGGCGTGCACACACCTGCTCGGGTGGAAACCTGATTCTGTCTGTAACAATACACATTGTATCGCTGCACAATGGACAAAGAGTCAGTTTTAGTTGCAAAGGAATGAGGGAGGGGGCTTACATATTTACAGTGACTCTGGCAAATATTATGTCTTATAATATGTAATGATACCAAAATTATGATGGCATAACAGGTCTCTCTCTGAGAAAAAAAGCTGGAAGGGTACATTTCGGCCAAAACTCAAAAATTCTTAGATGAATCTAAGAAAGTTTCGAGAAATAAAAAAAGTCAAAAAAATCTACTATAAAAAAATCTGAAATCTTTAGATTAACCTCAGAAGTCGACAAATATTTAACTTTTTAAAGATTTCCTAGTTTTTTTCTAGAAAATGACTGAGATTTAAGTAAACTTTCTGAGTTTTCTTTTTTTTTTTTTGAGGAAATTTTGGCGATAAAAACATTCAGTTCTGAACTCAGAAAATTTCCAAAAGTCAAAAATGCAACTTTTGAATCAAACAAATTTCCAATTAGAGAATTGGAAAAAAAAAAAAAAAAAAGCAGGTATTACTCTATTACTAATGCTTCCCACAATGGTTGATTTTTGATCATTCTTCCAAAAGTGCATTTGAAAGGTCAGACACTGATGTTGGATGAGAGGTCCAGGTTCAAGATTTTTACTAAAATGTATTCCTAAAAATTATGACAAAGCCCATGTGTAGCTGCTTTCACTTTGTCTTCATTGTTCTCATCAGTTTTAAATGTGCTTTGGTCTTGCAGGTACCAGAGAGTTGATAATTGGTGCAATATGGAGATGTGTGCCCCTTTTCTCCAGCTCATGTCTGGAGAAAGCCTGGATTGTTTCCTGCAGGTATCTGGTAAAATCTTTGATTCAAATGGGTTGATATGAAGCGCATAGCAGCTGCACTTCCCCATGACAAATGTTCATTAATGAACACAAAACAAAAAATAAGCAGAGAAAAATTTCATGCAAACAGAAGAAAGTAGTTTTTTTAAATTTGAATATCAGATAAATAATGTTTTGTTTTTTTAACCGTTCTCTAACATTAAAATTGGGAGGTTTATTTTTAAGCAACAAAGCAGAATAGATGACCTACAGCATATAGACTAAAAATATGCACACATAGACAAGGAAAGTGGAGGCAGGTGATGAAGAATGTCACTGAATCCATTCATGAGGTGCTATAACCTTTACTGCAATGAATCACATGTGAAGGTGTGAGCATCTGTTGAAGTGAGAGCAATAATAAGAACTCAGGAGTGACATTTGAAGGACCCTGTCAGAGAACTGAAGTGCCGGGCAGCTTATATCCAGGTCAGGGCTGTAACAGATAACACAAAGGTTTCAGCATTGTTCATGTCATGCAGAACGTGAGCAGCACCGCCGCTCCACTCATGCAGGGTTTGCATCCCCACAGGAGCTGAGCTGACACTTTACAAGGACTGACACGAACGGTAACCGCTTTCTGCGGGGATTTTGAAGGAGCAGCTAGAAAAAGCAAACAGACGGTGATCCATCACTCTCCATTCTCCAAGAAGATATATAGATATATATATGTCTGCTTCCAGAGTGGACTGTAACTCAAATACTTATAGAAAATAATAACATGAAAATTGAGCAGGATTTGGAGCAAAGTGTTCATTCATGGGTGGCAGCGACAGTTTAACTCAGGAGGAGGAGGATCATAAATCATAGCTGTGGTGACCCAGAGGACATAAACTGGCTGCCAAATGTTTACTAGATTGCTGCTTCTCTTGCTCATGCCCTGCCCCCTGCCGATGCACTCACCGCCACACATATTAACTACCAAAGCGCTTTAAACGTATATCAATACAAAACAACTACTTTCAACTTGTCGGTATAATGACTTGTTCTGGATGTACCTGGAAAAAAAGGTCTGTTTTATTTTTAATTAAGACACCGATCCACTTTCTCACTTCTGATACCGATACAGATATCTGAGGTTTAATATCGGCCAATATCGATCCAATACAGAAAAACTGATTAATTTAGCTAAAACTTTTCTTACATCAATGTACTGAATTGCAAATTTATTTTATAACGTAAAAACAAAAAGCTTTCCAAGCTTGGAAACATGTAAAATTAATGCAGTTTTAATTCAGTTCAGTCGGTGCAATTAGGCATACAAGGTCAAATAAATAAAAACCAAAACTGACAAAAACAAAAGGCTGATTGGTCAAACAAGTAAGAAATAAACTGCAACAAAACTCCTTTCAAATGGTTTAGAAAGCGCAATTAGGAACTCTAAAGGTAATGTAAAATAAATAATACAGCATAAAGCATAGAATTAGACTGAGTAGATCTGCCCTGATGGATCAGGCTCATTGTCACAATATACAATCTACAATCATTACTTTTAATTATCTGGACCGATACAGATTTTAATATCAAACCCAAACATTTAACATAAATATGTTACATCTTAACAAAAAATCAATATCTTAAATATAAAAACTCCTATTCATTACTGAATGATGTTTTAGGTGTTTTCTTGTGTTCATGAAGATGAAAACGGGAAACAAAAATTTGACGTATCAAACATGTGGACAAGGATTCAACCAGGTAAATGTTTTAGTTATTAGCGTTTCAAACAATGACGTCATAATTTGATTAAAAACGAGAAAACAAAGCCAAGAGCCAACAAAAGCTGTTTTTTATAAACAAAATCTACTTTTGTCATGTTGGTTGTAGTTTCTATGCAAACATCATCAATAAAATTATCCACAAATGCATCCATCTAACAAAAGCTTAATATTTGCATAATTGTGTTAAATTAGCTGAAACAAGTGAGGATTTCTCACAGATAAGATCCAATAAGTCAGTTTATACAACAAAGTGACAGCAAAGGTGAAAATGTATGCATGCGCAGTGTGTGTGTGTGTGTGTGTGTGTGTGTTTGTGTGTGTGTGTGTGTGTGTGTGTGTGTGTGTGTGTGTGTGTGTGTGTGTGTGTGTGTGTGTGTGTGTGTGTGTGTGTATAAGTCACAAAATATCATTAATAAAGGTGTCTGACATTAACTGAGGTGCACTGTATACGACTGTCATTTTAGGCTCTAGTTAGGACAAATGCTTCAGCCTCTCAACACACACACACACACACACACACACACACACACACACACACACACACATGTTGGTAGGTGACCTTGAACAGTCTGGGCTGATGTGTGGGTGTGTGTAGGTGTGTAAATGTATCCCCAGCTGAATCAGTAATGAGCATTTCATTACTTCAGCCTCAGTTCTCCAGGGAGGCGGCGCTCTCACTCTCTCTCTCTCTCTCTCTCTCACTCTCTCTCTCTCCCTCTCTCTCTCTCTCTATTTGTCTGACTCTCTCACACACACCTTCACACGCATGCAAAGCAATGCTTTGTACATCTTAGAGTCAAAATATTTAATACAATTCAAAGTAAAAATGGGTTATGTGACTAAATCCCAAACTAAATAAGTAGCCTTCTTGCAGATGTTAAATGTTATTAAAAGAGCTGTGATAAGTAGTTGGTGGCAATATCAGAGATAAATGTAAGAATTATGAAGATATCTCAACCAAATGAGCTGCAGACAAACTAATAAATGTACATTTGTAGCCATTCTTGTAAAGGCCTTACATTAATGTTACTGCTTTAAAACAAATATTTATATAAAATATATTCAT